GCTTAGAGCTATTGGTTTTTGCCGACTAAGGCTTAGGAGGTACCTTCCGATGTATCCTTTCATGTGCAAAAGACGGATCTCAAAAAGATGGAGCGAAGCATGAGATATGCATGAAGACGTCTTCATGATCATCGTCCCACGGCATTAGGGTTTTGAAATCGTCGAAATAGGGAAGTTCGACCTTTAACCTGTCTCGAGTCAGCACTGCTGCGTGAGTCCGAGTCTGAGCTTCTCGAATGAAGCAGAAAAGTGACAGGAGTCGCCGGACAGAAGAAGAAGCAGTGCATGAGAGAGACGGGCTTCGTTTCATGCAGTGGATCGCTTCTCTGCAGAGTTGGCACCAAAGTGGTTGTCTTTGGACTTGTGTTCCACTGACACCAGTTGCCGCTCCAAGAACTTTTGAGTTCACGAGCTGTGGACGAGAAAAGACGAAGCAGTGGTGATTAAGAGTAGCATCTTTTTTACAATTGGTGTTCAGGCGTCCTTCCTCTTCCAGCAGAAAACCCCAAAATTGAAGTTGAGATATTTGCGAGTATAACACGGGCAGTGCCTCAGCTGCCTGGCAGCGCAGCATGGCTGAGAAGTGGTCTGGGGCGGTCAGAGTAGCGGACTTGAATGATTTTATTGCCCCATCACAAGCGTGTGTGGTCAACTTGAAGGGGCAGAAGCAGTCGGAGGAGGAACAGCAGGGGCAGGCCAAGGTATGACCTGCAAGTAATTCACGGGCATGGAAGACTCCTGCCATGGCTTCTCTATGCCCACTTTGATGGAACGCTTGCACCCATCAAGACCCAATTGGGATCTGCTCTTCTGGAACTGGTGCCCCCCATATGCACTTTCCAGGATAATTGGTGGTGTCAAATTGGTGCTAAAGAATCTAGTGGACGTTCCTACTTGCGAGTGGTGGCGTTAAGTCTAGAAGTGGGCCTCTCATAGCTGTGCGCTGTGCATGATAAGTGAGAGCCCTGCACAAAGTCGTTCAGGAAGATCTACAATGTTGATGCCCGCTTCTTGTGGTATGCAGGATGGTCTGGTGCAGATTCAGGCCCGGAAGATTGACTTCCCCCAGGTGCGGAAGGCTGCTACTGATGAAGCCATCAAAGTCAGCCTGCATGACTGCCTGGCGTGCAGGTAAACGCCCGCTAGCACCATCTGACGTACGTGCTTTAACCCATTCCACAAGATTGGTTCATGATTCTCCGGTTTTTCCCCCATTGATGACACGCTCTCCTTGGGGGCTGCTGACGCTGCCCCCTGTGTCCTGCGCAGTGGGTGCATCACGTCTGCAGAGACCGTGATGCTGCAGCAGCAGAGCACCGACGAGTTTGTGCAGCGCCTCAGCAGTGCCACGCAGGCGGTGGTGGTCTCCCTCTCGCCTCAGAGCCGGGCCTCCCTGGCCACCCACTACGGCATCACCCCCCTCCAGGTACCCCGCCCAGCCCGACGGTTGCTAGGGAAGCCTGAAAAACGGGTTGCTCAGAATTTTGAAGTGACAGACAATAGCTGGCTTTTCTTGGACAGGGCGGCTGGCATGACATAAGTGGGGCTTGCGATTGGTTGTCCTTGTTCTCTGGCGGCACCCTGAAACACTTCGGACGTTCTTGTGCACATGCAGGCGTTCCGCAAGCTGACTGGCTTTCTGAAGTCGCTGGGAGTGAGGGCGGTGTTTGACACCAGCTGCAGCCGCGACCTGTCCCTCCTAGAGTCCTGTCAAGAGTTCGTGGACCGCTACAGAAAGGCAGCCGGCAATAGTGCCACCAAACAGGGGGAGCTGCCCATGCTGGCCTCCGCCTGCCCAGGTAAGTTGCAATAATTCCAGATTGATGCCGCATCCGAGGAGCCAATACAGACGAGTAGCCTCCTCCCCTGAAAACGACAGAATTGGCGAAAGACAGGGTGAAGGCGCCAATGAGTCGTCTGGCAAGTTGCCAGTGCTTGTTCAGAGTAGTGTTTTGTAGACACGGGTTGTACGTGACCATTTTGTGATGCTGTCTGTTGTTGCAGGCTGGGTGTGCTACGCGGAGAAGACGCACGGGCAGCACATCCTGCCGCACATCAGCAGCACCAAGAGCCCACAGCAGGTCATGGGCACGCTGGTCAAGCGCCATGCCTGCTACCGCCTCGGCCTCAGGTCAGACCGCACCCCCGCGACCAGCCCGGGCATGGGCCTCGTTTCTTGGATGACTGTAGACGGGCTGGTCAGAATACGGAGTCTCAGGGACGTGTTCCCCGCTTCTTGACTTTCTCAGGAAGCTGGTCCGTCACCTGTCTCTGTTCAATTACTGGAGTTTTGTTGGTGATTGGTTCAATGTTCGAAGAGCCGTTGTCTTTGTGGCGACCCCGTTGGTGGGGCTGATTGGTTGCTTCCCTCTGACACAGGCCTGAAGACATCTACCACGTGACCATCATGCCGTGCTATGACAAGAAGCTGGAAGCCGCGCGCGACGACTTCATCTTTGCAGTCGACCCAGGGGGCGGCACGGGGGACTCGGGGCAAGCAGGGCCGAGGGTTACTGAGGTGGACTCGGTGCTGACGTCAGGCGAAATTCTGGACCTGCTGGAGGTGAGGTCCTTCACCAGGAAGCCGGCAGCGTCTTTGTCAAAAGAGGGAGACCGCTCCACCTTCGAGGGCTGACCATGACTGTGCACGTGGGCTGCCAAAGATGGCGTAGGCCGAGCAGGCTAGTCCGTTCACCAAGGATTCGGGCGGGCTCTGTTCTTGCGCGTGTTGCCAAGTGGCACACTGATAGTCAGTGGCAGTGTACGACGGCTCAATCGAAGTTCTACTCGAAGTTTGGCGCTCACGACTGGCAACGCAGGTTCTGACACTTGTCCAAGTAAGGCCTGGTTGAAAAAAGGTTTAGTAGCAAGAAAGTCGAAGCTTTGCATCGAAGGCCACTCAATCATTCACGTGGCAGGAGGGCTGCGGAGATTGCGAAGTCGAACTTGCCTCAGCTTAACCGATCCTACAATCTTCCGCCCTTCTTGAAGCTTGGTCACGCCGGATCTTGACACTCCATTCCCTTTGCTTACAGTCCCGAGGCGTTGACTTCGCTGCCCTGGAAGAAGCCCCACTGGACCTCATGTGAGCTTTGTCCCTCTTGTAAACGCTCTATGTCATATTGATTCTTGCTGGAGGCATGATCAGGACGATGCATGGGCACCCTCGTTTGCTTGCGCACATTTGTACCCCCTCTGCCCCGGACTTTCCCCTCAGCTTGCGGCGTCGCTGGCTGGCACAGGCTGAGCAGCGTGGACGAGGCGGGCCACGTGTACGGGGTGCGCGGCGGTGCGGGCGGCTACCTGGAGACTAACTTCCGACACGCGGCCAGGGTGCTCTTCGGGCAGACGGTGGAGGGGCCGCTGCAGATGAAGACGCTCCGGAACGCCGACTTCAAGGAGGTCTCGCTCGAGGTCAGGCACGAGGCGCGTCGCAAGGCGGGAGAAGCAAGAGTCACTAACGGTCTTGACACATCCCTGCCATTCTCAAACGAACATAGATGGAGCAGATGTCCTGGACCAGAGAGGTACTACTCGCTCATCCGCTTGCAAATTCTTCAGCTGTCCGGCTGGTTTTCTGCCCTTGTGAGGACCCTTCGTCCTGACGTGCCCTGTCCCTGTTTTGCCCAGGTGGACGGCAAGCGGGTGCTCCACTTCGCCGCCGCTTACGGTTTCCGGAACATCCAGAACCTGGTGCGCAAGATCAAGCAGGGCAAGTGCGAGTACCAGTTCGTGGAGATCATGGCGTGCCCCGCGGGCTGCCTCAACGGCGGCGGGCAGATCAAGCCGCGCAAGGGCCAGACCGCCAAGGACCTCATCCAGCACCTCGAGGCCGCGTACCTGCACGAGGTAGCCACCGACGGGCCACGTTAGCGGCTGTGATGGCAGGCGGGCTTGGCACGCTGGGCTGGACTTCTCGGACTTGGCACGCTTCCATCTGACTTGCTTGCCTCTGGTGTCTCTGGGTTGACCGCACCTGGTGATCAGCGATCGACTCTGACTGCCTGCGTTGATTTTGCTGCAGGTGACAGTCCGTGACCCAGCGGACAACCCCCTCGTCCAGGAGCTGTACCGAACGTGGCTTGGGGGCCCGTATTCGGAAAATGCCCGCAGCTTATTGCACACGCAGTACCATGAAAGAGAACGAACGGTGACAGCCTCAATCAGCAACTGGTGACAATAGCATAGAGGAGTAGGCAGGGTCCTCTTACAAACTAAATGCGCGCGTTTTAAGTCGTAGAAGCAAGTCTGCTGCATCATGAGGCCGCATGTGCAGCTTACTAGGAATCAAAGAACGTCGAATTATCTGCGGAGAGAACGAATTTAGCCGAATAGCGCTATATGTAGCTAATCCAAACCTTAGGCGCTTGGAGAGCTAAAGCTTAGAACAAAGGGCTGAGCCTAAAGTGAGTCCTTGGTTGTTTAAGAAGGATCACGAAGGACAAGACTCTTTTGCACGGTATCCGATGAAGGCGACATGCCGCAACTTGCGAGTAACTAACCTTAATTCGAGGTGCATTGAAAGGTCTCTACTTTGTAACCTAGCCTTTGCCAGATCCATCTGCGCAACGCCTTGGGTACCTGATAGTCGTTGCTTCAAGTTTATCTGCGCGATTTGGTCGACCGTACCGCAGGCTCACAAATGGCTATTCTTGCTAATTTGCCATGCAGATCTCTTGTAGGTACGTCATGCGTGTTGGGCACCGTAGCTATAGAGATGTGTCTTCGTGGCCTCGTTACCAACGGAAGCTGGAGGGAGGCATAGCTCAGCGACAAGTGAAATTTGAGGTGCTATATGGAACTCACATGCAACTTTGACTCTTTGAATTGGCTTGGCGAATGATCCTTGTTTGCATACAAATAGCCTATTTGTATATATAGTATATCGATACTGATATATTGTAATTGTAATTTCGTTTGTTGTCATTGCAGCAGTGACCAAAGAAATTGATGCGTACAGCGCGGCCTCCATTGCAATTTACGCGCGAGACCATTGTTTGTATGGTGCTGAGGGCTATCATGTTAAAGCTGTTGGCCATGACAACGCATGTACTCATGACATGGTAGATTCATTGCCTGGGCTTCTCCTGACATCCGTATCGGGCCCGGCCGGGGTTGCATGTTTTCGGTCGTGCCTATATTAGTAGCTAGGGCCTATGTAGTAGGCAGCAATATTATCATAATGATCCCATTGAACGTACCATTCGGAATTCCATGCCCCCCGACAGATTCCTGAGATTGACTTTGACATGCATCTGCCCACTTACCGTCCGATACGATTATACCTGAAGCATCGAACGTTCGCATTAGGAGCTGGGCCCTGGCCCTGCGTCACCTGGGTGAGCCGGTGCCAGGTGGACAGTGGGCAGGTGGGTACCCATAAAGTTTAATACCTAAAAGGATCTAATAGTAAATACGGTACCTATAAGGAAGTACTCGGGGCAGCAACCTAACTAAAAACCCTAATCAACAAACATGACCCGCTCCGCACCCTAACCTACCCTAACCATCATACCAACCCCACCCGTTCGCCGGGCGTGCCTTATAGCTCTTAGATCCTTTTAGGTATTAAACTTTATCCCTATGCCGTGGACACTGGACACAGGCTAGTTATACGCGGACCCTAGGTTCGCGACGGTCCCTCGACCGTCGGGTAACCGTTGGCCAACGGTTGGCCGCAACACTCCGAAAAGTGTCGCAACACTGTTGCGACACTTGCTCAGTAATTTGCCCCCAAAATAGGGGCAAAAAAAGATTTTACACCGCGTTTCACTTCCGCTCGAAGACACACTCCCTACTTCGAGACTTAAGCAGGCCTAGGTGCCTGTAACATACTGCAACTTAAAGCAGAGTGTGTCAATTGGGCAATTTTAAATGGTAACAGTGTCAATATGCTTCGACAATACGCTTCACAGTGGTGAAGTCGTCGGGCCTCGCGAGGCCTGCCCTCGAGTTTTCCGTCCGGCTATCGAATATTTACCAAGTCTACGATGTTAGATTAGTAGTCTGAAATTTTGACTCGGCAGGCGGTTATGTTGGCCACGTATGAAAATCGAATGTCGAAAATGTACTTTTCAGTGTTGCGACACTGCCGCCCAGTGTTGCAACACTGTTGCAATGTGTTGGCCAAACGTTGGCCAACGGTTGGCCAACGACTGGCCGACCGTCGCGCGAAACCCAAAATTGCATATACCGTACTACCAAGGTATGATTCCGAATAAATAAATAATTATCTGCATTCGGAAAGTCGGAAATTGCAAATAAGCAGTCGGAATCTGCTTTTTCGGAAAGGAAAAATAATTGTTAAATCCTGTTTAAAAGTATTATCAAAGCCCATATGAACCCAAGGTACGTACCGGCACCCTTGAAAAGCCAGAAAACCAGGGTACCTGGGTACCTTTGAGCTCATTCGGATTTAGGGTCGGATTCTGAAAAATAATACAACATTTGGGCTCGCATTCCGTAAAATAATTGCATATTTTGAGCATTCGGAATCATACCTTGGTAGTACGGTA